TTAGCCCCCAGAAGTGTGATGGAGGGTTCAGCACTGCTTACTTCCCTTAATCATACGACCTTTTCTCCTCTGGCCCACCGGGAATTTGTGGAATGGTTGTGTCATTAAATGTAATTTGGCAGAGTGGCAGATACGCATTTTCTTGAAGGCCACCTTTGATCAAGCGGCAGAGACTACCTGCCATCATTTTAAGAAGGACTTTGAGTGCTGGCTCTGGCTAGAAGGCAAGAGAGGGACAGTGGGGCTTGATGTCACGTGCATTGGCCATCTCTGCTCTTGTTCTTAGCCCTTTCTGAGTCTTTCAAACATTGCTCATAAATACATCCGTATCCTACCCTATTTGAAAATCCTTGAGATTCCAATAAAATTGCGATTGACTGATTCTAAGATACTCTTGATTTCACACAAGCTGAAAACCCAAAAACTTTCATGAAAATTACTACCTAGTTGGTTGCAGGCACAGCAGCTGGGACCCTGCTCAGTGCAGGTGTGGCTTGAAGGGCAGAGACTATTAGCGCCAAACGGGAAGGGTCCAAAGTAGACGTCAACACACACTTTCTAGGTCTAAACTTCGTTCACACAAGTACAGTCAGTGAGCCACTGTGCACATTAAAAGCATGTTTATCTACTTACTATGAAAGAGGAATTACGTTTTGGGCTATCTTTTTCTGAAAAAACCTGTTGAATAACACCTTATTAGCTATTTGCTTGTAGCCAAAAAAAAAAAATTATTATGCACTGTGTAAACTCAAAAACATTTATTGAACTCCAGTACCTGCATTCTTCTGACTATGCCATCACATTATATTTAGACTAATTAGGCCACAAATAAATAGAACCCAATGAAGTTCTGATGGTGTAAGTTAGCATCAGACGTACTGAGTTATTGATTATACCATCAAAAAACGTGGTAGACGTGGTTTGTTAAAGACAATGTCGACAAATTTTAAAAGTAAGTAACCAATAAAAAAAGTTTGGGTTAAATTAATCCCCTCAAATGTCTATGAGCAGAGTTGAATATGACAAGAGCAGACAGTATGAACCAGACAAAAAAGGCAAGAGCCAGTGCCTTTGAAACAGCAGGCTTGTATGGGACCCAAGGTCTTGGAGGCTCCAGTGTATGCTCTGCCCTGCAGTGAATCGGGGGGATGGCAAGCAACTGGGGCTACTTTAGGGTGATTTGTCCAGCTACAGATACATGAATACATCTACATACGGTACTAGCTCCTCCCTTTGAGTCTTTTACCCAGAAGTGTTTGCAGAAATCATGATCAAAATATTGTTACTTCAATTTCAAATTCTCTGATTAACCTACCACCACCGGAAGAGCTGGGTAGTGTGGAAACTTTGATAACTTGAGCAATTTGTTGGAACCTAATGGCATGTCTATTACTTATGTTTGTAGTACAGCCGGGGTTCAGCTTCATGTCTTAGGTAGGTGCTTCTTATAAACAAAAACAACCAACTATGTTTCTTTACCACCATTTTTAATCATCTGTCTGTCCACCCATCTCTCATCTATCACCTATTTATCTGTTTCCGCAAATATGGAGCTGCTCCACTTTGTGAAGATTGCTTAAAGATTAAAGATAACTCCATGCAGGCTACACCCAAAGTAAAAATCAGATTATTTTTGATAACCTCCTATGAAACGAGGTTATCAACATTTAAAAACGTGTGGGATATAAGAAGTGTGTCAAAATCATGATCCTGAATGAATGTGGCCCTCTTTCTAGTCTGCCTTTTTGTGTCTCCTGGAGACATTGGCAGAGATTGGTCTGACATATATAGTTTTGAGAGTCAACATCCAAATATTCAGGGGAGGATTTCCTTGCAACTCCCAGGCCTGGCCCACAGTAATTATTAAAGAAAAAGTTTTTAGCAGTGAATAAACAGAAGATGAGTGAAAGAGATAAATTTCTAGAATTTTTGCAGGCATCCCTGAACTGTCAACTTTAGGTTAAATCTTAGCTCTGAACACTTACTAGGTATATGATAGATCCCGGTGTGTTTTTGGAAAGGTAAACTTTATAATGAGGAAAAAGATGATTGTAAATAATTCAGTTATTTAATCTTTATCAAAGCCTCAGTTACTGCATTTTTTTTTCTCTTACTGCAGACCTTGCAAAGGCACCATTTTACAAACAAGTTTTTATATGATGGTATGGTCTGGAATTTCCTAAAACATTTCCAGTTAAGAAATGTTGAAAGAATTATTTCTCATAAAAAAATCAATATAAGTAGATGGAACATTTTTTTTAAAAGATGGCTAATGAGCAAAACCAAATCTTTACCTCTTAATAAGTAATATAAAATGTTAAAAATACAGAGTGTGTTACCAAATGCTGGATCCAGACATGCCTCTTATTGGCATTTTGGGCTATTTTGACATAAAATGAAATGACCAAGAAAATTTTTAAACTGCCTCCAAATGACTCAAGCTAATGAACAAGTAATTTAAAGTGAGGCCAGGATAAGTAATGCCCCAGGAGGAGGATGCGAGTGGAAGAAAATGATCTTTGATTGTGTTCCTTGAAATGAGGCCAGCTGAGCACAGCAAAACGCTTGGAGCCAGGCGCATGGAAAAGGCAATGACTCTCGCTGTGAAACGCCACTGACCCTCGTCCTGAGCACTCCGCCATCTACCTCTCTACCTTTCCATGTCTTTATGTCCTTAATGGTCTAGATTAATTTAATCAGAGAATCTTTCATTTAACTGTTTTTTTGAGTGCTGCCTACCATAGACCCCTTTTGTCTGAAGCAATGGGGACTGGCAGTTGGTGAGTTAATTAAATGTCAAAGCCAGAAATCACACAAAAGTATCTTTTTTAACTTGAATATTTTATTTTAATCTGACATCTATAAATACACATTCACTTACTAATCTTTAATATTGGCCCACAGGCTGCTTTTTGGAGTTTTCCGAAGCTTTTCTCATCTAAACCATACCGTAATGCACTGGCATTGATTTCCATTATCAGGGTCTGTTTAAAATGGAGCAAGAATTCAAATATACATGCAAAGCAATTTGAGTGCAGAAATCTGTATTTTTCCCTGATAGCTTATATTTGTCTGGCCCAGAACTAACTTGACAGCATTTTTTTTTTTTTTTAGTGATTTATCTTTACCCAGTTTTTCAAAGCATGCCTTTGACTTTCACGAGAATGACAGTGATGTCCCATATCCCACTTTTATTTACTAACTGATGAAAATAAAGTGTGCAATTGGCACAAACAGGTGTTGAGGAGAAGAGTCTACAAAACTCCAGGAGAGGCACCACCTGCCCGGAGCCTGCCCTGTGCTCTGGTGTGAATCACGCTGATAAAAGAGCTCTGACTATGGGTATGACAGTTTTATGGGTTGAGAAAACAAAGAGGAATAATATGTTTTTATGGTTTCATGCAAGAGGCCAATTAAACATCATGTGTATATGTTTATCTATATGTATAATTTTTAGGAAAAAGACATACTAAGCAGAACAGGAGAACAAAGGACTAATTTTGCCTTTTTCAAGAAGTTTGCCCTGATCAACACAATTCACACTAATCTTTCTCTTCTTGTATGTGGTTATTTCAAATATGCTTCGTGTGAACGATAAGGAAATGCGGACAAAGACCATGGCAAAATGCACTTCTATCAGATTTAGATTTATTGCACAATGTTGTGAGTTAGAGGTAGTTGTTGCAAACAGTATGTATCCTTGAAATGCTCCGCTCTGGTGAAGCTGTTTCTGTGGGGGATGGATGTGTGACTCGGGTCTTCAGGGCTGAGGGGCTGCAAAGGCGTGTAGTGTAAAGTATTTTAAGGTCAAACTGACAATGTTCTTACACATCTTTGACAGAGAGGCTGCAACTTTCTGATATTTCCAGCTCTACTAAATTTCACCAGGCTGCGCTTGGTCCTGGAAAATCTAGTCTGTCAGTGGTCTGCATGATATGCTTGAATTGTCGCTTTTCTTTTTGATGACATTTCTAGGCCATAATAGTGCCTAATCAGGGAGGCAATCAATGGAATGTGCACAGTGCATTTGATTCAGCTGGATTAGAGTAACTGCATAATGGGACAGGGTATTGTGACACTTAAAACATGTAAGTGAATTAAACATGTGGCCATTCCATCTACTGGCTACTGTTAAAACCAAACACCTACACTGAGAAGCTAAAAATAGATTTGGTCATAAAGACTAGGCATCCTCTTTGAGAAGCAAATCATGTTAATAGAAAAGTTTTAAATCAATTACGTACAAATTTAATGTATTTTTTTTTTGAGTCAGGATATATTTTTTGGAGAGCAAAAGAAGGTGAGAAAAATACAAAATCTCTTTGGAATTTTTATAATATTAGGACCTGGCATACAAAGCATTTCGGTGACTGTTATTCTTATAGTAAAGTTTTCTTTGGCTGAGTTTACTGTGTAAGTTAGATTTGACAATGGCCCCTTTGATAAATGGGAAATGAGACAGAAATGCAAATTCTGAAAGTATTTACACTTAGGAAAATAAGATGAAATACAACTTTTAAATTACATCAAGGGCAGGAAAAATAATTATTCATTGCATGCATGGTTGTTTCGTTACTGAAAACAAATGTGATAACATCTTTCAAATCATTCCTCGCTCCCCTGGCCATCTGAAGGAACCGCAGTCCTTGGTTAAATAAAGGCTAGCTGTTGGTAATAAGCAACAGCAAATGTCTGGGGATGTCTTTTTAGCTTCTGAATTAAAACTTGAACAAATCATTATTGTTAGGGCTTCAGTTAGGTTGTTATACCTTGGAAAAATATAATACCAGTCTGCCGGAAGCCAGAGAATTAACTTTTTCCATTTGTTTTTGGAGGCACATTCTCACTTAGTTACTTCCAATTTTCACACAGATTCCTTATTGTTGCCAGTTGTAAAATTTCTGTTAGCATATTTTGATTGCTCTGTGTGTTCTGAGGAAGAAGCTCAGATGGGAAAAAGCTTTAGTAAGGCATTATTCCGTAAGATGTGGGCTGCTGGTCCTGAAATTTGCCAGGCTGGGAGCCAACAATATTAATAATTTTTAGGGAAGATTCATTTTCTCCAGATCTATAGTTAGCAATTCCAATATGAGGTCTTTTACCTGAAAATGTATTTAAATGTGAAAAAGGATTGGTTGAAAAATGACTGACCTTCTCTTTTGAAATAATAATAGATGACATTTATTGAGTGAGTAATGCATGGTAAGTTTTATAAACATTATTTCATTGACAGAGGGACTGCAGCTCTTTGGTATTTCCAACTGTGCTGAGTCTTCATTTAGCCCTCTGAGATAGGTAATGTTCTTGTTTCTGTTAAGAATCATTTTCAGAAAGGGTAAAGTCATGACAATCAGATATAAAAAAAAAACCTGTGTATTAAAGATTTTATTCTACTCATTAATCAGTGAGAGAACCAGACAGATGCTACAACTGATACAAAAGAGAATCCAAAGTATAAACACATTTGCAGATTAGAACCACTGAAGTGAAGGTGCAAATGGAGGCAAAATGTTCTTTTTCACAGCAGGGTAAAGGAAGTAAATTGAACTTCTCTTGGCTGGACAGAATTTGCAAATCTGCAGGGAAGAAAAATTTGGCATTGCGTTTAGTTACTTATGACTTGCAGGGTTGTAGACTAGCTCCCTGGAGGGGTAGCCCCTAGATAATGCGTAGTTTTCCACTTAAACACAAATTTCCCCTCCGTGCCCATTTTATAGATGGAGATATCAAGGTTCAGAGGGGACAGGTTTTGAATGGGTGAGATTCATTCACAGGGAAAATCACTGTGTTATGGGAAGGCGATGACCTGTGAGTGAGTTAGTGGAAACAGGATGAATGAGATGAATGAAGTTGCTCAAAGATGTCCGCACCTCTAGAGCCTTGTGGAGAAACTAATGAAATAAGGAGTGGAGGAGGACTGCAGAATGTTTACATCTGACCCATTTGAGGTCTGGGCAGGTGAGGCAAAGAACCCAGCAATGACTGTCCATGCCCTGCAACAGAGTCCTGACGATGGAAGCCCCTGTCCAAATGCGTGGCATTCCAAGGAGAACAAATGCACAAGCTATACAAAATGGTGCTTAGAGCCACATTCACTTTTTTTTCCCTTAGTTACACCTAATATGAAAGCCTGGGGAGGAGTTTGGGAGGGATTTGTGATGCAGATAAAGAATGGGGTTATTTTGAACCTGCCGGCAGGGGAGCCCCAGGGTATGGCACAGGTCACCCTTGCACCTCTAACTCTGGTGCAAGTTTAGATGGGTGACAGACTGTGTAGTTACCCTTTGTGAAGTCGTCATCACCTGGAAGGAAGCTAGGCAGGACAAGGATATGACGGAAGCTTGTCTTCTTGGTGCTCTGGTAGTTGTCTCAAGACTGGAGCAGTTGCTCAAATGGCTCACAATGCCACCACTTCCTAGAACCTGGGATGGTTAGGCCAACTCAGAGGAGACAGTGAGAATCAAATAAAGAGCATGCATAACATGCTGATGGACATAAAACTAGTAAGTGTCAAAGCCCACATTCATACATCAGTCTGCCTCAGATTCGCCACTACACTGTTTACCCTGTTTCCTTTAAAAAGCTGGATGCCAGAGGTCCACAGTGACTTCTGATTGCCTTTGGTAATGAGCTGCATGTCATTCTCCAGTGCCTTTTCACTGAGTCATTTGGGTGGGATCAGCCCTGACTATGATTTTTGACAGTCTCTGCTGGGTGCTGTTAGTATGGGAGAGGGAGTTTTCATATACTTTCAACAGTAAAGTGACCTCATTTTGAGTATAAACTGAAAGCAGATTTCCACTGCATGAGACCAGGAAATGTCCGGGATGGTATCACACACCATCCACAGTGTCTTGGGTCTTACCGCTTCTTCACTTCACCTCAAGCATCATATGGGAAATGCATGGGCTCAAACAAGAGCAACCAGTTGAAAGTCTTGGATATTGTCCCTGACCTTGAACATCATTACCTTTTCTGTGGCCCCACTTTTCTCATTAATGAAACAAGAATAATAGCATTTGATCTCTATAGCTTCTGTGCAGTGAATTCCACAAGAGAATGTAAAATGGGAAAAAATGTTTTACGTATAAGAAATGATGCTCTTTGTTGTCAACCACAGAAATGCAGGTTGAGGCAATGTCTGCAACAAGCAGAAAGCCAGAAAAAAGAAAAAGTCGTCTGGATATTGGATAATTCAGAATGGCCCCTGAAAAATACCTGTTGTCCAAGTTTTGCAAGTGGCCGAAAACCTAACTCAAATGATCTCAATCAGGAAAGGACTTTTATTCTATTTTTCATTTAGTATACCTGAAAAGTCCAGGGGCAGATGTGGCTTCAAGTGTGACTTGATCTAATACTTTACTTTTTAATGTAAATTTTATTTTTTATTGACAGATAATCAGTTTACAATGTTGTGTTAATTTCCAGTGTACAGGATAGTGTTTTAGTTATACTGATATATGTATTCATTTTTCATATTCTTTTTCATTATAGATTACCATAAGATACTGAATATAGTTCCATGTGCTATACAATAGGACTTTATTGTTTATCTGTTTTTTAAATAATAGTTAGTATCTGCAAATCCTGAACTCCCAGTTTATCCCTCCACCCCCACTTCCCCCTCTGGTAACCACACGTTTGTTTTCTATGTCTGTAAGTCTGTTTCTGTTTTGTAAATAGGTTCGTTTGTGTCTTTTTTTTTTTTTTTTTTAGATTTCGCATTTAAGTGATGTCATATATTTTTCTTTCTCTTTCTGAGTTACTTCACTTGATATAACAATCTCTAGGTCCATCCATGTTGCTGCAAATGATATTATTTTATTCTTTTTGGTGGCTGAGTAGTATTCCATTGCATATATATATACCACATCTTTATCCAGTCATCTGTTGATGGACATTTGGGTTGCTTCCATGTCTTGGCTGTTGTAAATAGTGCTGCTGTGAACATTAGGTTATATCTTTTCAAATTAGAGGTTTCTCTGGATGTATGCCCAGGAGTAGGATTGCCAGATGATAGGGTAAGTCTATTTTTAGTTTTTTAAGGAATCTCCATATTGTTTTCCATAATGACTGCACCACACTACATTTCCACCAACAGTGTAGGAGGGTTCCCTTTTCTCCACACCTTCTCCAGCATTTATTGTTTGTGGACTTTGGAATGATGACCATTCTGACTGGTGTGAGGTGATACCTCATTGTTGTTTTGATTTGCCTTTCTTTGTTCATCTAATGCTTTATAGGACTTGGTTCTTCCCTTCTCTTCTTTTCCCTTTCCCTTCCCCTCTCCATCTGGACTTGGCTTTCCTTTGCGTTGGTTTAATTCTCAAGCAGGTTTTTAGACCAAACAGCAGAATGTCTGCTACTCACTTTGAATTTACATTGGAGAGAAAATGCCTCTCTCTGTTGCTCCTGCAAAGGTTCTGGGGTTAGATATAATTAGCTGTATTCGGCTACTCAGGCCAGTTTTTGGTTCTATAGTCACTCTTAGGGCTGGGGTTGAAGTCAGCGTCATAGATGCCATGTGGATTGAGATGAGGGAGGAAGAGATTTACAGATAAAATAAAGGCACTCTAACCAGAAAAAGAGCTAGTGTTGGTAAGGCAGAAGGAGACCCATTCTGGGGGTATTTGTGATAGAAAGAAGCTTGAATTATCCTAATTGACTAGCTATGGTGATTGATACTAAAAAATATGAAAAAAAATCAATTAAAATATTATCCTTATTTTGCTATGAAGACGTTAGGGAGAGTGAGATCCAGAGAAAAAATTGCTTAGAGTTTGAATAACAATTCTATTAGAAATACTTCTTGAGGGGTTACAGAATGAATATTTATTTATTGGATTAAAAAATTTTATTTGTCAAATAGAATAATGGGAGTTCTAGAAGTGGTGATACATACTTGTCATTTATCTGTCTACCCCATGTATTCTGAAATATGAAATCTAGATTAAAGATGATATAGACTCAATTTTTCTTTTCTTTGTTGAGAGAGAGAGATTTCATGATGTTGGCTGTTTTATTCATTTGTTCAGTAATTATTTATGGAGCTCTATGTACAAGGCACTGTATATTCCAGGGAAAATAATTTAGCCATGGTCTTGCTGTATTTTAGTATGTGTTTCCCTGATTTAAAAAGTGATATGAATCATATAGTTAATTCACAAAAGATGAAATTTGGTAGGCATATGGAAAATCTCTTAACCTCATTAGTAAATAGAGAAATAAAAATTTAAATGAGTTTTCTTGATACTATGAAGGGAGGAATGATAATTATAAATTATATAGTCATCATAGAGGGTAATTTCTCAATCTGTTAAAAATGTAAAATATATAAGAGGGCGCACAAAAGAATGCTTATTGTGATATTGTTTGTCATAGAAAACTGTAGATAAACTAAAATTGTAGCAAGGGAAGAATGGTCAAGATGGTCAAATAGGCTAAAAAAAAGTCCACAGTTAGGAATGTGATGCAGCTATAAGACAGTGTGAGGTATATATGCAAACACAGAGGACAGTAAAATGTGCTCTAATTTGATCTAACACAGGAATATAGGTTGTACTTACCTACAGACAGATAGCTTTCTAAATACATAGAAAAAATTCTGAGAATATACACATCCAACCTGTAATGGTGTTTCATCCAGGGGATGTGGGGAAAGGAACTGGCTGATGGGGTGGGAGTGGGGAGACCTCATGTTACTCCTCATTGTTGGAAGAGTTTTATAAGGATGCTCTCAGCTACTACTTTTTAAATTAAGATCCAATTAATTTTTAAATTATAAAGATACGTATTGCTGTGAGTATAATACACACTGAGTTTCTACAGCCGTTAATCACTGCCTTTGTGTGAAGCGCTGTATATTTTGTTGCAACTTTATTCTTTTCATGAATGTGTTTAATTTAATATATAATTTTTGTTGCAACTTTATTCTTTTCATGAATGTGTTTAATTTA